AACATTGTGGAAATGAGCAGAGATACCTACAAGAGTGTTTCAAGCAGCGTAGAGGTTATGAATAGTTACATCCAAAGAAAACGGTGACCCAAGACTATAAAAGTAGAGTGTACTGTTGAGCTACGTGGCAAAAGGGCATTGCTTCCAAGGGAGACGTCTGAATAATTAACTATTTCACGAGCTGTTTCTCTTCTTTATTCCTTTCTGCGGTAAAGCCCTTATTTTATCTTTAACTAAAGGAGAATGGTACAAAGTTTTGTTTAAGAAATGTATAACTACAGTCTTATCCGAAGAACTAAGAAATACAAAAAGACAAAGAAAAGACGTGCGTACCTACAGAAAGAAAACTGCTTCCACAAGGCCATTTGGGGATTATTCGAATCTACTCATGCGCGATAACCAATATCAGCTTATATGAACACAAGGAAAAAAGAAATAATGCAGAAAGCAAAAGAAGTGCAACAATCAATAATGAAAGATAACGTTTTGTAGCAAATTTGAAAAGGTACAATTTTTGAAGCCTCATTCAATAGCTCAACATCCATTCAAGATGAAAAGTAAAGGTTTGAGCTCTCAGTTGTGATTACAGAGCCCAGATAAGGTATTGGCAAAAGAGGATGATATAATGCTGAGAACCGCTTCCGTAGTATGTAGTAAACAACGTTTGTAATGCATAAAACCTCCTTTGTCGCAGTGTAAAGAAGTAGCCGTCTTTAGCCATATTTTTCTTGGAAATTAGAAAAGCCGTTGATCATTTGCAGCTCTGACAGAAGCCAACAGAACTACAATGCCGCTCATAACTTTCGCAAATAAACGCGATTTCACATAAAAATCTGTCGCAAGCGTCGCATCGTCAAAGCTGCTTTGAAAATATACATTTTCCAAAAAAAGCGTTTTTAGACTCAGCTTGCCAAGCCGAGTCTTACGGTATACCACATTACAGTAATAGGTATGCGGTAGATACGGTAAGCAATCACTATCGTGAAACCATCTAAACTTTGCTTGAGGGTGTTATACAACCCCTCTACGCAAAGTTTCACACGGATTTGCGATGATGACTTCCTACCGTATCTACCGTACATCTTAAGTGTTACTGTAGTGGGGTTCACCTTAAGATTTGTCTTGAAGAGCTAAGTCTAATACCATTTAGACAAAGATCTATTTTGAGAGAAGTTATGAGGGTGCGACGCTTGTGACGGATTTTTACGTGATCAAGTTTTTTGGCATAAATCATGAACGGTATTGTACTGTTAGAGGAAATATTAATAGGCACTTTAGCCGATTTTACCTTGATGACGCAATACTTTTGAATCTACTGCAGAGACGGTAAACAAGTAGCAGTCGTCTTGATGACTAAACCTATTTTCAGAGAAA